ACTAATTCACTTTATTCATTCATTATAATTTCTTGACAAGGAGAATGATGTTTTCTTATATATTGAATATCACAATTAAACCCTCATTAGTATCATTAGTTATTTAATAGTTATTAAAATTACCTATTTATTTCAATTACCTATTAGTGACAGATAAACAAATTGAACTTCGTTGTTGTGATTAAACTATTGTTTTTCTAAAATCTTAGTTCGCAGTTTTAAACTCCTTGTGGGATCGATATCTAGGACTCCATTAGAGCCCTATATTACTTGAACGATACGTATACTTGCGTTGATAAGTGTGACTTTACAATTATTGAATATTTATCACACTCATATTTATCTTATATTTTAAGCATATAAAAAGTCGCCGGTCAAGTTTTTGGCGCCGTTGTCGGGGATTTAAATCTTCTAGTAGCGCTGTCAAATTCTTGTATTTGTTGGTTTATAAAAAAAAGTCGGTCATCAAGCACAAAAAAAATCATTCTATCTCATAAAACTTATATTTATAATAGTTTTTCATATTTAAACATTAATGTCTAATAAAAATAAAAATTACTGAACAAAAATATTTATCAGATTGCACTTCATGACGTCTGTATACATACTCCATGAGAGATTTTAGGCAATATGATATGTATACAAGCGTAGTATACCAATCTTCCTAGGAGCATCAAATTACTTCACGACGTTTGTATACCTATCAAATTACACTTCAAGGTGTCTGAACTAAAATACCAAAGCAATGTTGCCTTTTTGTAAAATGTTAACAATTAAAATTTGAGTTAAAACCATGCAGTGGAAAAATATTTTTAAATTATAATAATTCTCATTTTAAAATATTTTAAAGAATTTGTAGTAGCCAGTAAAAAAAGACTGTGCGGTAAAAGAAAACAGTAAAACAACTTCATTTATTTATGTTACACTTTTATCATTAGAATTCATTATCTAAACGTATATTTTATAAAAAATATGAATTTAATATTTTGCAACCCATCATAAATACAAAATTTTTCATTCTTATTTTCATTTCCATTTCTACTTTTATTTCCGTGCATGATTACACTGCATTACTATGTCAGTATCATCCATGGATGACTCTCATACGCATGCAAATAATATATTTTATTTATTTTTCTTAAATTTAACATTTAAAATGTGTACTTCTGCATTTAAAATAAAGCATGGAAACAATTAATAAGCAGACTTATTGTAAGATAAAACTCATTTACCAACGTCTATAGCGAAGAGTACTATCCATTTCTTCATATCAATTTAGCCCTTAGATGCACTTACAATAATAATTTAAATGTAATTAGCTTCTTGTTCAGAGCTAATCTTCTTTCCTATTAATTCTAGATTTACTATTAGTATTTTTTTTAATTTATTTATTTAATTAGTTGTGTATTTAATTACATAAATATTTACATATATCTATAAAAATATAGTCGCCTAATTCCTTTTATTTTTATGAAAGGTAATAATTCATCTAGCAATATTTTTCTTTTAATATTAAGTTACCTCGTCAATTTGTATTACTATTGATACAACATCAACAAATTTTCCTCATTTAGCACAGATCTCAGGGCATAGCACAAATCCCGATGCAACTTTTTGATTAGTGGACATTCAAATTTCAATTAGAAGTCATCCAGAACTTTGATTTTAGCAAACTTACAGTCAAATTGATCGGCTTGACGAGACGAACCCAATAATACCAAAATTGGTCTAATCAGAGTCAAATTAAGCTCAAATCAAGTCATTAAACCGCTCTTAGAAGTTTAAGTTTTTTAGACACATTTGGAAGGTCAAACGAATGTTGAATCTAGCAAATCTATAGTCGAGTAGAATATCTCGACAAGATAAATTCAGCGAACCAAATATCGCTCATTTTAAACATCGTTAAGACACTCAAATATTCATCAAATGTCGTTTATCGAAATAAGCTCTCCAGATCGACAAATCAAAATGATTTATATTATTGCATTAATTGCACTTGGGACTCTATAAATAAGGCCTGACCCTCTCATGAAGGGGGAGAGAAGCTTGAGGCTTGAAGAAGATCTTGAAGCTGAGATGGAACTTAAGTCCAACACTAACACCGTCGACTGTCGTCGATCGCTACTAACCTCCGTCTACCACTGCCGAACGTCGTCGGCTATCGTTGATTACTGTTGACATTCGTCGACTGCCGCCGACTTCCGTTGACCACCGCAACCATCATCAATCTCCATCGACCACCGTCAATCAAAGCTAATCTTCATTCTAATTTGTCGTTACTCATCACACTTTATGCTCACTTTCTCTATCTCATTTGTCCTTCAAAATTCATCCTTCACCCCTATTACTCATCATTCTACGTGTTTTTTTTTACCGTTTTCAGTAACATTCCTGC